TTACAGATGATTGCCACAGGTTCAGGAAGGAATGAAAGGTGTAGAGTTGGAGCTCAGCGGTTTGCTCCACCGTACTTCCTGTAACTACAGGTAAACCAGAACAGGTGTGTGTCACGGAGCGGACACCTGCAGACAGCAGGGCAGTGATTGACAGCTGAACGTCTGCCATCAGTTCATCATTGTGAAAATTTAACAAGCTGCTCCTGTCGAACCGGATCCAAACTTCAAACAGGACCTGAGGTTTTATTTTTTCTGTCAGGCTGTCGGACCACTCCACCTCCACTGTCCGAGGTCTGGGACGGACGGAGACCAGCCGAGGCTGCCGTAAAGAGCTTCGTGTCCTGAATGATCCCGGGGACACGAGTCAGTCCCAGACTGAGCTGACTTGTTCATTTTAAATGAAACATGTCAGGAATCATTACTTTTTACAAAACATCATTTAGAACGATCAGAAATGTTAGCTTGTCAAATTAAGCTAGCTGTCATGTTCTACACCAGGAGGTGGAGTCTGGTTGAAACAAACAACAGGTTGTTGCAGACAACCTGAAAGCTGTCAACCCCTGAATACAGAGCTTTATTGTGATTTTTACATATGATTGTAGACTTCAATGAGATTTGCTTCAGTGTGGATGTAGTTCAGACTTGCTTTGATGTGAAWGTGGGCCTTTCAATGACATGTGTTTGTACCCACAGCCCAGGCTAAGCTGGAGGCAGATGAGGTGGTTCCTCGGCTGTTATCGTTGCAGGAGATGGACCTGATGCTRCCTCACCATCAACGCTCAGAGCATTCAAAGTCAGAATACATCTTTATTTTACTGCCTGCTTTTGGAAACAAACTGTACCTGAATCTAACACGGGACTTTGCAGTTTTTTCAAAGAATATTGTTGTAGAGGAAAGACTTGGGAACCAAAGTGTGGTGGTCAGACGTTTGACCATGGACCAACGATGCTTTTACTCTGGCTTCATCATCAACCAGATCAACTCTGTGGCTTCACTGAGCACCTGTGCTGGTTTGGTAAATCATCATGTTTATTCAAAACAAGCAGTTAATTTTCAGGTGCTTGAGCTTTACATCATGTTATTACATCATCCCCTCATGAAAAACACACCCAGTGTTGCTTTGACTCAGTCATGCATGAATGTGAAGTCCTGTAGTGTCCTGTGGTAGCTGTTCAGGAGAACAAAGTGACTGGTTGGAACCAGAACCACCTCCTAGGTGCAGCTCGTCCTCTGGGCTGTGTCTCCAAGCTGAGTTTCTGCATCACGTAGCACGCCTCCTCTGTGACTCCTAGGCTGTTGGGAGCAACAATTAGCAAACAAGTGGTGAAACTGCATCTGCTGAGCTCGTAATACTATCGATTTCTCAGCCTGGTCCTTTTGGGATTAAAAGTGGCTTTGGAGGTCTATAACAGGTGATGAGATCGATCATGTTAGCCACTCCGATCCAAAAGGCGAGGCCGCTGCCAGATGCTGGTGGAGATCCAGCAGCAAGGCCAGCAGCCTGTCATCTCAGTCAGGTTCAGCCCAGCATTGATTGGCAAGGCATGACCAGATGCATCTTTTACTATTCCAGCCAAAAACTGTTTTTTCTCATGTTTGGCACAGAGTGACATGCATTACAACAACTGTGTCACGTTCCCACAATCTTTGAGCTTAAATATGCTTTTTCTACTGTGTAAAACTTATATTTAAATGTCATTATTCCCTCTTCACACATGCAGCACTTCACAGAGTTTGTGTGTGTAGCGTCTTTGTTTGTTGACCTGCGTTACACAATGGTTTGAATTGGCCGATTTACCACAAATGATCCCACCCATCTTCAAATCAAACAGGACAATCAAGGTAGTGACAGGTTTGTGTCAGTCCAACACGGGCTGAGTGACAGTTAGAGGAAGCTAACGCTAACTGCTAAGGTAACTGTCACTCAGCCCATGTTACGGGCTGAGTGACAGTTACCTTAGCAGTTAGCATTAGCTTCCTCTAACTGTTTTAATCTGTTTAGAGTGAGCAGAAGTAAGATTCTTGTTTAGCGGATTAATGGTTAGTGAAGCTAACCTTTTGGTTAGTTGTGCCCACCACTGGTATTTTTTTATTCAGTACTTGTATTATTGGCTTCATTTTCTAAACCTCTACCTGGTCTTTAAAGTCTCGTTGTGTTCTTGTCTCTGGACAGACTGGACTCATTCAGATGGATCAGGACCTCTGGTTCATTCAGCCAGCGGACCAGCAGGAACCATCAACATCATTCTCTGGATTGAAACATCAACTGGTTCGACATCAGAGCTGGACTGAGACCAAGCCTAGACGAGACGCTGAGCAGCCTGTTTACTGTGGACTTATCAAAGGTCAGTGATGCAGACAGACCCCTGAAGAACCTGTTCTTTAACTACATGCAAACTCTGAAATTTGCTGGAAGCAGGCTGATAATAAATCCAAATAAATTTGATTTGTTTCAGTATAAAAAGTGAACAACAAATTAAATTTAGATGTTGTAAATGTGGCACATTTATATTCTTTAAATATTAATTAATGTCAAAAAGAAAAAAATCAGTAGTTCCTCTGGATGGTTCTTCTTTAATGAAACGTTTCGTCTCTCCTCCAAGAG